GGCATGGCCAGGCCCCTGGAGGTAATTTCTCACTCCCCCCTCTCTCTGGCAACTGTATGGCAACAACATTTTAAAAATTTTAAGTTGGGGGAACCAGCAGTTAGCTTACTGGCTATGTCGCTGGACTCCCACGTAGTCGACCATGGTTCGCGTCCCGGACCTGGTGGCTTAAAACTCACGCCGGGCGCGTGTGCGTGCATGCCCAAGATCCCAAGAGGAGAATGGAGGAGAAGGGATTGCGGCATGGCCATCCCCCTTGGGGGGTGATTTCTCGCTTTCTATCTCTCTGTCTCTCTCTGTCTGTCTGGCGAGCGCACACGCCCTATAGCAAAAACCTCTCTAAAAAAAAAAAATTTAATTCAGGGGAACCAGCAGTTAGCGTAATGGCCATGTTGCTGGACTCCCACGTAGTCGACCGTGGTTCGCGTCCCGGACCTGGTGGCTTAAAACTCATGCCGGGTGCGTGTGCGTGCATGCCCAGGATCCCAAGAGGAGAATGGAGGAGAAGGGATTGTGGCATGACCATCCCCCCGGCGGGTGATTTCTCGCTTTCTATCTCTATGTCTCTCTGTCTGTCTGGCGAGCGCACGCGCCCTATAGCGAAAAATCTCTCAAAAAAAAAAAATTTAATTTGGGGGACCAGCAGGTAGCATGGTGGTTAAGGCACTGGGCACTCCCACATGGCCAACCAGGGTTCGAGTCCTGAATCTGGTGGCTTGCTTTCTCATTTCTTCTCTCTCTCACTCTCATCCTCTGTCTCTCTCTGGTCAAACTAAAAAAATAAAATAAAATAAATGAGTAAATAAAATAAAATAAAATAAATAATTATTAAAAAATTTAATTCAAAACAATAGCCCTATCGATTATTGATGACAGTGTGGAACAATGGGAACGTCATACTGGCGGAAGTCTGCATGACCAAAACCACTTTGACATTACACCGTGAGCTTGGAGAAAGGAATACTCTCTGAGCTAGCTGCTCCACCCTAAGGCGTCCCCTGCAGAGAATGCTGGCTCCTGAGCACGGGAAGACCAGCCTCATGCAAACAACCCAGTTATGACAGCAAACCCAACAAAACAGAACTGGAAACCATGCGCATTTCATCAACCGAAGAGCAAATCCATAAATCGTGGTCTATACATAGACCACAGATACAGCAGTGATGACCCCAGGAATATCACACTGAGCACGAAAAGCAGACAGAGTGTGCACTAAGTGATTCAGCTACCTGACGTTCAAAAGCAGCAAAACCAAACACCATCAGATGCCCCTAGGGTCACAGTCCTGTGGCTAGAAAATGATCAACACACAAAAATTAAGGTGAGTGAGTGCTTTGAAGGAGGAGGGATCAGAACAGGACCTGAGGGGGTTCACAGAGGTTTCCAAAGCTGATGTGTTGGCCTGCGTCTTTTTTTTTTTTTTTTTTTTTTGCTAGAAGGCACGTGAGATCTCCAGAGAGAGGCACAGAGACAGAGGAAAAGTGAGAAAACACCAAAACACCACCCATGGGGGATGGCCACGACACAACCCCGTCTCCATTTCTCTCTTCTTTTAGGAAGTAAACCACATGGGAGTCAGTCACCCTAACCACCACGCTCCAGCCGGCCCCGTGGCTTGAACTGTACGGTGGGCACCTGAGACTGTAGCCCGTCGGTCTTCGCCGTACGTACTCTCACAAGTACTCTCCTGCATAGTGTCACTATTTATCTCAGAAAGGCTTTCCAGGGCGGCTGTGAGGGCTGTGCAGAGGGAGCTGGAACCCCCGCCCTGGTGGCCTGAAAACCACCCTGGGAGTGCGGAATGCATGCCTGTGCCCACGGCCTGGCTGCATGGAGGAACAGAGGAAGGAGGGAGTGCAGCATGGCCAGAGGCCTTAGGGAGGTGCTCGCACGCTCTCTCTCTCCCCCCTCTCTCTCTCTCTCCCTCTCTCTCTCTCCCTCTCTCCCCCTCCCCCCCACACACACACACTCCACAGTGTCTCGGAAAAAGCCACATCCATTCCTGCGAGGCCCCATTCCTGGTGCTGCCTGGAAAACCATGGGCCAGGCCCAGTCAAGGCTGCTCCCTCTGGGCGTTTCTTTCTTGGGGGCTCCCACCCCTGCCGAGAAGGCCCTCCAGGACAGGAGTTGGAGCCTGCCCTCTGTCACCCAGCACCTGGTTCTGCCACATGACAGGCTCTGAGTGTCGATGAGGGAGGGCCCGTGCAGGAGAGGAGCTGGAACCGGTGCCTCCAGCCCAGGGTTTGTACCTAATGGAGGGAGCCCTGGTGGCCTTGCATGGCCTGGGCAGGAAACACAGTACCCTGCAGGGCCCCAGGCGAGGCGCCAGGCCGCAAGGCCAGAGCACATGGACCCCACCTTCCACAGAGAACTGGCCGGTGCCTCAGCGGACAGCCACCACACGCTTCCCCTCAGCCACATCACCCCTGCCAAGGACTGATATTGGCTCCATTTTAATCTCCCAATAAATCTATAAATTCAACACAGCCCCAATCAAAACCTGATCAAGATTTTAATGGGACTTGACAAGCTGATTCTGATATTCAGATGGGAGAGTAGATGTTCAAGAATAGCCAAGACAGCTTGAAAAAAGAAAAAACAAAGAGGGGAATTTTGCCCGACAAGATGTCAAAGCATATTATAAAGTAATTTTAATAAATATAATGTGATATTAGCACATGAATAGATAAATAGATCCTTGGAACAAAAATAGAAGATCAGAAAAACAGACCCATGTATATACTGGAATTCAGTATATGAATGAAGATAGCCTTTCAAACCAGTGGGGAGAAAGTGGATTATTCCATGTGTGTTGGGACAATTTACTACCTGGGAAAAAATAAAACTAAATCTCCCTCTTCATACCATTAACAAAAATTAATATAATCAGTAGCTCCTTGGGAGGCTGAGGCAAGAAGATTGCAACATAGAGAGACCCTGTCTTGGAAAACACAAAGAAAGAATTCACTCTTAACTAAGGAATTAAAGATATATATAAAGAAAAAAAAAACGGAAAGGATAAAGAACACATAGGAAAATACGTTTATGACCTTGAAGAGTTATAAACAATATATGCTGAAAAGCAAAATTCATAAATTGAACCACAATTTAAAAGTCTAGATCAAGTGGGGCCAGTAGGTGGTGTGGTGGTGAAGGTGCCGGACTCCCACATGGCTGACAGTGGTTCAAGTCCCAGGCTTGACAATTTGCTTTCTCTCTCTCCCTCTCTCTCGCTTTCTGTGTCTCTTTCTGGTGAGTGCACGTGCCCTATGGCAAAATTAAAAGAACAACAATAATAAAATTAAGATAATCTTTTTTTTTTTAAAAAAAAAAAGTCTTTATGAAGAAAGAGAACACAAAGTTAAAAGAGAAGGGAGGGACATATTTACAACACATGTAAATGACTAAGGATCAGTATCCAAAGTATATAAAGAACTTCTTCCATAAGAAAATGGGAAAAGGGTGTGAATAGACAAGATACAGAACAGACATGAGGAAGGCGTAAGCTTTATACTGAAAGATGCTCAACTTATTAATGAAAAGGGAAATGCAAATTTGACATTTTCCCCCATCAGATTGGCAAAAATTTAACTGTGCCAACAGCGAGAGTTGGAGAGCGTGTAAGAAAATAGGCCATCTCATTCACTGCTGGTGAGATTACAGAGGGCCGCCCCTCTGGAGGCGGATGGGGCCACATCTGCTAACACGTAAACACACCCTCCCTCCTGCCTAACTCTCAGGCCAAAAGCTGCGAGCCAGGGCTGAGCGAGGTGAGTGTCCACCCAGGGCATGCTGGGTGAGAGGTCTTCCTTGTTGAGGGCCAGGGCCACAGGGTGTCGGAAGCCCAGGTGGGGTGGTGGCTTGCATGTGGCCCTGTGGTCTCCAGGACGTAGCCGGGAGAGGTGGGACAGTAGGGCCCCCACACACGAGGGGGCAGTGGTGGGATGCTGGAGCAAGGGCGGTTCACAGGGAGGGAGTGAAGGTAGTGACAATGGCCATTTGGCCACACCCAGAGGGACTGTGGGTAACGGGAGCTGGGTTCTTGCTGTGGGAGGAGGAAGTTACTAGAAAGGAAAGAACCAGGATGAACTCTGGCATGGAGCTGGAGGCATGGTTCCTGGCTTTTGATCTACATGTGTGCACACGTGTGCATGAGCGTATGTGGTTTCCGTCTGTTCCCGGGAAGCTGGCGCCCCAGTAGTGAGGAGCACCCCGAGCCACCAGGTTGGTTACTAACAGAGACGCGTTTGCAGGAATCAGGCCGTGGGGGACTCGGCCCAGGGCTGGGCAGAGAGCGTACAAGGCAAGCCGGGCGCAGCGTGAAGAGACAGGGGAAGGAGTACGAGGTCCCAGGGCCAGGCTGGAGGGCCTGCCACGGGCCGGCCAAGTCGGGAGCAATCTGAGCGTAGCAGTACGTGCCCCGGCATTCCGGGGGAGGGGAGAGAGGGACTGACAGCCGCCCTGGGTTGGGAGAGGAAACCTTTAGATGTGACTTCAAGAGAGAGCCCTGTCCAGATCAGCTCTGCACCCCTCGTACCCAGTGCAAAGCCAGGACATGGGGGACAGACCTAAGGGGCAAATCACAAACCCCAGCTGGCCAAATCCCTCTGTGCCAAGCACCCCAGAAAGTGCGTGCTGTGACCCACAAAACCACTGATGAGTAGGGGCTATGCCTGCCCCATCCTCCGGAGGGCGATGTCGAGGCCCACGGAGGTCAACTCCTTTGCCCAGGCAGCTCAGACCTGGACACAGGCAGCCCTGTCCCGCCGTGTGGGCCTCCCAGTGAATGAATGAACAGACCAGGACACAAGCCTGGAAGTGCTCCCCGGGCTATGGCCTGGATGCCAGCCTCACGGCCCGCTGGCCAGGCCGGCCTCCATCTGCCACAGGTGACAGAGGAGGCTCCGATGCACACCCAGGGCCTCACACGAGCCCAGGAGGATTTACATATTTTTTATTAAAATGACACAGGAAGTCCACTCGAACATTTGAAGCCACTGCCAAGAGTGCACACGTTTGATATTAATTAACGCGGAAGATGACAGGCCGCGGGAGCTGGGTAGGCGTCCCCTCTCGGATAGGTGACCTTTCAGGAGAGCGTGTTCCTCACTCCTGCTGGGTCATTACGGAAACCACCAGGATTTCCAAGGATGCTGGCCTGGCAGCTTCGGCCTCCTGTGGAGGGGAGGGCGGGGGACAGGCGCTTCATTCCCGGGACTCCGGCCAGGCCACACCTGTCGTCCGAGTGCATAGGAGCCCTGTCTAAGGACATCTTCCAGAACCTGCTGGGGTGCAGCTCCCGGCAGCCACCTCGGGGTGAGCTGACCCCACACCTCTCTGCCTCTGAGACCTGGCAGTTCCCCTCGCCCCGTGCCACCCAGGCCACATCCTGACCTCCCACTCCCAGTCGGCCCTGACAGCTTGGGCAGGCCACTCTCAGCCCCAGCACCCTCACCTGGAACTCTGGGCCCTCGTGACGAGCAAGACCAGTCTGCAGACCTGGCCTCTGTATCTGTCCCCCATGCCCCTCAGGCCCTCACCTGCCTCACGCCGGCCTGAGCCCTGGGGCCAACGTCCTGTCCTCCCCTCCCATCGCCCTTTCTCTCCAAACCCCAACCCAGAGGTGAAGTCTCGCCATGTGGATTAAGCCGTGTTGTCCACACTCGCACCTCAGCGGTGGGCAGCACCACTGCAGTAAAGGACTCACTTTAGATTCACACCCGGAGCCCTTCCGGTGGGCCGGCTCTCCCTCTGTCCCAGCCTGGACACAGGCCAAGGTGGCCTCTCCTGGCCCATGTGCCAGCCCACCATCGCCCACCTCGGCCTCCCCAGGCAGCGTGGAGGGTCCCAGCGCTGTGCGGGGCCAGGACCTGGGCAGCTGCTGGACTGGCCCCCCACCCCCATCTGCACCCCCAACCTGCCCGGAGGGGTTTTGAGTGGACCTTGGCTCGGCGTCCTCCTCGTCCTCCCCACCAGCTCCGAGGCCACCACGCAGGGCTCGGGCGGAGCGTGGGTGTCAGCCTGCTGCCCGCTCTCCCCCAGGTAGTGCCCATCCACTCGCTCCAGCCCCGCGGCCTCCCTGTGCCTCATCTTCCCCTCCCCCAGGCTCGTCCGCCCCAGGGACTTGCCCGTCTCCCTGTGGCACAGCTCAGCTCCCAAATTAGACGCACCGCATCATGAACTGAAACACCAACAGAGAAGTCTCACAAGGTGCAGGGAAACTGTGAGGTCCAGACCCGTAAAGGTTTGATTATGTTGGATTTTGGTGCTCAGATGGCACCCCTGGAAAGGCCTTCCGGGCCATCCTGCGTGTAGGGCTGTCCCTCCCCAGCCTCCTTACCAACCTCCTTCCTTCTCTGCCCCTCCCTCCTCCTTCTCCCTTTTCAGAAAGTGCTTATTTCTGCTATGAGCGAGAGATACTGAGAAAGAGACACCCCAACAGGGTCTTGACACCAGACCCACCCCGGCCACAGCCAGCCCTGGATGATGGGCACCCACGGGCCAGACGCGCTCAGGGACGTGGCAGGGTGTGCACCGTCACCGCCCCACGTGGGTGGGCCTCATAGAGTGCGCGGTTCACCCTGGGCCACCGCCAGGCCCCTCTGTTCTTTTCCTTCCTTCCAGCATTTACGGCCTCCAGAGCCATCTTGGTTGGTTTGCTGCAGGACCGTCCGGAACGGCGTGCCCTGGGGCCCAGGCTGTGGCGCTTCTCCCGATGCAGGCAGGGCCTGCCCAGGACAACAACGCCAGAGCTGGAGAAGGCCCTGGAGCCGAGGGCCCTGAGTTCCAGTCCTCATCGGTCTCTCCGAGCCTCAGTTTGCTTATCTGCAAAATGGAGCAAGCCCCACACCCTGCCCATCCCAGGGCTCGGCAGCAGAGCAGGTGGGACTGCTGTTGAGTGTGGGGGCCGCCCTGTGAACTAGACCCAGGCCAGCCACAGGGGGTGCTCAGCTGCTCCTCGCACGTGGGGCAGTGATGCTGGGTGAGTGCACTGCGGGTCCGCTCACCTGTGGGATCAGGGCTCCCGCCCGTCATCTGAGTGCCTTCTCTGTCCCCCAGCTTTCGTCCTGTGCACGCCCCAAATCTGGGCACATGGACTCAGATTAAGAAACGCTGAGCCTCTTTTCCACAATGGGGAGCAAGCTTCGGAATTACGATTCCTTTCTGCGAGACAACAGACAGTATGGAAGTAAAACCACATAACCCAGCAGAGGGAGAGAGTTCTAACACAGCAATGCAGCCGTGGCTGCTGCAAAACGGCTGCTTTTTAAGTCAGGGAAGACAGAGGTGAGCAGTATCTTCCTCGCAGACCGCGGCACGCAGCTGGAAGGCCGGCCAAGGCCGAGTCTCCACCGGTGACGAGGTGGGGCTGCATTCGAGTCGCACTTCAGACGGCCACAGAGGAATGACCAGTTCCCGGTCACATCACTGCTGCCCCTCCACTTACCCATCTCTGAAGTGGGCTGACCCCAGGCGGGTCCTCGACCCCGGGCTTTCCTGGAGTCACACTGGGCGGAGAGCCCTCAGCCTGACGAGGGCCGCGTGGATGGGCAGGAACAAGGTTGGCTGCTGTGGGCCTTGGTTTCTCTCTAGAAAATGGGGTGCTCAAGTCTACATGCTTCGTGGGCATGTGCCTGGCACGTGGTCCATGCCCTGTCCACGGGGCAGCACCAGGCTCTCTGCCTCCCACTCACCTCCGAGGGAGGGTTGTAAACCAGCACCTGTGTGGGGGCCACGGTCGGCCACAGGAGGAAGAGTCACCCCGGGGCAGGTGGCCGCAGAGTCAGGAAGAGGAGGTCAGGCCATGGGTGGCAGGAGGGTGCTCTGGGCCTCTGCAGGCCAGGGGACACGGGGCAGGGCTGGGGCAGGACAGTGTCCTGCCACAGGGGGGCTCACGGCATGCGTCGGCCCTTCCCTGGGTTGGAGCTCCAGCTGGGCTGCTATGGCTGTTTTTCAAACTACCTGGAAAGCCAGGTCCCCTTCCCTGTGGTCTACCGGCCCCTCAGTGTTGGACTCCAGAAACACACACGCATCTCCTGGACCTGTCTGTGCTGCTACAATTTGTCCACGGTTCTTTTTTCTGTAGAGGTTTTGGCTATAGGGTGCCTGTGCTCGCCAGAAAGAGAGAGACAGAGACAGAGAGAGAGCAGTCCTGACCCATTTGTGTGGGGAACCTGGCCCTGGTCGGTACCAATAATCGCAGATGAAATGAAGTCTCGGAAGCAGTCTAGAGGAGAGGAGGATGAGAACTGGGCTGACAAGAACGCCTGGTGGAGATGGGGAGAGAGGGAGGGCTGGTGGGCAGCGGCGGAGCTGGGGAGGTGGCTCGTGCAGGCTGTGGGCGCATCTGTAGGAAGGGGGAGGCCAAGCCCAAGGAAACGCAGGTCAGAGTCATGCTCCTGACACTTTCAGAGCCAAGGCATGGCGCCATGGTTTTTGTTTTTGTTTTGAGGGTTTTTGCATTAGGATGTATGCACTCACCAGACAGAGACAGAGACAGAGACAGCGAGAGGGAACGTGAGAAATCACCCTCTGGGGGGAACAGCCACACCACAATCCCTTCTCCTCCTGGAATCTTGAACATGCACACATGTACCCGGCCTGAGTTTCAAGCTACCGGCTCCGGTACTTGAACCACAGTCAGCCATGTGGGAGTACAGCAACGCAACTGCTGCACCATCTGCCGGCCCGGCGACTCGTTTTAACACCAAAACTCGCAAAGGATTCAAAGCCCAGGCGTGCTCTGCTCTTAACACAGGACTGCAGCCTCCAGGGGCAGCCTGCTCCACCCCTGCCGCCCCATCCCCGTCCAGGGGCACTCCTGCTCGCTAAGAGTGGGGGACTGAGAGACGTTCCCAAGACTTGCGTCTCCTCGACTTAGGGCGGGCTCGGTGTGCGTAAGCACACTGGAAGTGGAGAACACACTACGTCTCACCTCCCGGAGTCAGAGCCTCACCAGCCTCGCCCCCGCGTGCTCGGGACACCACCCTCAGCCGAGGCAGGGCAGCGCCATCTAGCACCAAGCCCATTCTATAACGAAGCGCCAAACCCCTCGCTGGAGGCGGAAGCAGAGCTGCGGCTAGGCGTCTGCTGGCCGCACCTCGCTGTCTCACCGTCGGCGTCCGCCGGCGGAAGTGGGGACCTCCCGTAACTGCCCTGTTGCTAGCCTTCGAGGCCTGTCCTGGTTCACAAGCATCGTGCTGATGGGACAGCTGAGATTAAAGCGCTGCAGTCAAGCCACCAAACTCACGCTTTGGCAAATGGCATAGTCTGAAGAGGCGTTTTAATCTGGTTCACCGCCCCGCGGCCTCTTGCTGAGCTCAGTGGTGCGCTCGCGTTTCTTCAGCACTTTCTAGGCCCCTCCCTTGTGCAAGGAGTCGCGGGGACACAGAGCTGGTTAGGCAGGGCCCAGGCACCACTGCAACAGGAAACGGCCCGGCCGCGGTGGTAGGCCAAGCAGCCGCAGTGCGGGGTCGCCGGTAGGCGGGCTGGGTGGGGAGTCGAGCACCAGGCAGCAGCTGAGGCCGGGGCTGCTCCTTGTGGACGTGCAGCTGCAGTGAAGACCCAGAGAGCACAAGTGTGCTGAGAGGCCTCACCTCCAGTCACGGCAGCTGACCCCAGCGCCCACAGGAAGCCGCTCCTGTCAGGTTTCTGGCCAGCCTGGGGAGGCACTTGCTGCGGGATGCCAGGCCTGTTAGGGCTCCCTGGGCATTGCGGCCGGCCGTGGCCCAGCAGGCACTGCCACCAGGGGGCGCAAGCCGAGCAGGGAACGGGAACTGCCCAAGTGGGGGCTCCCCTCAGAGCTAAACGGAGGGAGGGTATATGGGTCACTTTTTTTTTTTAAATATTATTTTTTTACATTCAATCACTAATCACTATATCTCTCTACAACACATAAAAATAAATTTTCCCAGCATGAATACTGTTTACTAGTCAAAGAAATTACCATATACGGTCGTCAACAGATTTTCCTTTTTTTTTTGGGTCCATTTAATGGGGGTTTTTTTTGGGGGGGTCCCTCTTTTTTTTTGAGAGTTTTTTTTTTTTTTTTTTTTTGCTATAGGGCGCGTGCGCTCGCCAGACAGACAGAGAGATAGAGACAGAAAGCGAGAAATCACCCCCCAGGGGGGATGGTCACGCCGCAATCCCTTCTCCTCTATTCTCCTCTCAGGATCTTGGGCACGCACGCACACGCGCCCGGTGTGAGTTTTAAGCCACTGGGTCTGGGATGCGAACCGCGGCCGACTACGTGGGAGTCCAGCAACATAGCCATTACACTAACTGCTGGTCCCGTTCGGTCACTTTTGACAGGAGTGGAAAGGAAGTTTGAGTGACCTTGTTTGGAGGGAAGAGGATGGCTTTGTGGAGCCTCACTCCCCACTGCCATCAGTCTCTGAACGCCCTCCTCGCCCACACCCCTGCGTGGGCAGCCTAGGGGCCACCCGTGTCGGTGGCGTGGAGGGCAGTCCAGGCTCCACGCTCCCCGAGTTCAGCCCTCACCCTTGTCCTCCAGCCACACCCTGGCTGCACCCACTGCCTGCCGTTCATTCGCGGGACACAGTCTCGTGGGCGATGATTTGGCTCTTAATCCGAGTGTACTTTGGTGCAAGTTTGCAGAAATTACTTGTTTTAAAATGTGCAGATTCAGTAGCTGAAGCCTGAAGTCTACATAACTGAATGACTAGGGTCCTGAGATGATTTAACAAGTGCATATACTCGCATTATCCTACTAACTGCACACATTATTTGGGCTTAATTTTTCTATCTCCTTGGCTTGTAATCTACTTTCCTTCCCATCAGGTACACAGCAATTCTATTCTCTCAGTATCAGCTGTTTTATAACCATCACCCTGACAGCAGAACTACATCCTTGTACTCATTTAATAACTATTTATCATCCTCTAGCTTCCCATTTTCAAAAATGAGTAAGTTAAATGCTCCAGAAATTGGAAAAAATTGAAATTTGACCTTTATTAACTGGGTTAATTGTCAAAATCTCTGCTTGTAAAAAAAAATTAATGACCAAAAAGTGTAACTCTGAGAGTTTCAAAGATTAGGTTAATGTCCAAGGAAGTATAAACTTTGACCCTTTTGACACACGTCACAGGTAACATCTAGCCTAATAAATTGCTACCCGTGAGCAATTATAAAATTTCTCTGTATCCAATCATACAATTTAATTGCTGCTGGAAATTCTGGCTTCCTTGGAGATGGCCTGGAGAATTATTTGATGCTTCTGGGAGGCATTTTATATTTGTTGCAGGGAGGTCTGTTTCCTCATTTGGATTTCTTTTTTTTTTTTTTAAGAATTATTATAACTTTATTTTTATTTATTTTAACTTTACCAGAGAGGGGCAGAGTGAGAGAGAGAAAGAGAAAGCGAGAAAGCAAGTCACCAGGTCCAGGACTCGAAACAGTTTCAAACCATTAAGTCCCCATGAGGAGTTTTGGGATCCTTTACCTCAACAATTGAGTATTAGGAAACCACTCAGTCATTGATAGCAGTGCTCACCAAAAATACCCTAATCACACTTGCAGCTACACAAAAAATAGAATTCTGAAAGTGCATGTCTTGCCAATAGCTACGATTGCCTTTGGTGTTTGGTGTGGAAGCAGAGGCACTCTAACCAGTGAACGTCCAGAGCCTGGACTGTACAGAGAGGCCTGAAACAGAAAGAAGGGAAGTTGATGCTTCAGTGATTGAGAGAAGATAGTAGGCTCACACCTATTTATACCAGGCTGGGCTTATGCAAATCAAAACGTCTTTTGATAGATGAGCTTGGATATACGTTCACCATTCCAAATATCTTTGCATCTCAAGCACTGAAGATCTTAGTTAATACATCTCTTTCTTCTTTTTAATGAATAATTTTATTCAACCTAATTTATTATTTTTTTTAACTTTACCAGAGAGGGGCAGAGTGAGAGAGAGAAAGAGAAAGCGAGAAAGCAAGTCACCAGGTCCAGGACTCGAACCACGGTTGGCCACGTGGGAGTCCAGCGCCCACACTGAAAGGTTTGTAGCCCTAGTTGCTTGGCCACAGGCAGCTTGGATAGTAAACACCACCCATCCGGAGAATGCAGTGGAGACAGACCGGAGTCCACACTTGATCTGGCCCCCCCACCCGTGGTCTTGTTTCCTTGTTAGCTGCCCACACGAGGCGCACTGAAGTAGGCGTGCCGCTGTGACTTTCTCACGTGACTGGTGACACTCCAGAGCCCCAAAGGAGAGCCAGCGGCTTTTTTTTTTCCTTCAGGATTTTGCCATAGGGTGCATGTACTCACTGGAGGGAGAGAGAGAAAGCTCGAGCAAGGGAGAGTAAGAAGTCACCCCGGGGGGCTGACCATGCTGCAATGGCATCTCTGTTCTCACCCTGGGAGGTGGGGCATGCACATGCACACAGCGTGCTTTTCAAGCTGCCAGGTCCAGGACTCAAACCGCAGTCGACCATGTGGGGAGTCCAGTGCCTTAACCACCATGACACCTGCTGGCCCTGGAGGCAAATTTTGTTTGTTTAGGTTTTTGTTATAGAGCATGGACAGTTGCCTGAGACAGACAGTGAGAGGGAAAGTGAGAAATCACCCCCAGTGGGGACGGCCATACGGCAATCTCTTCTCCTCTGCTGGGATTTTAGGCACTCGCGCTCGCATACCCAGGGTGATTTTCAATCTGCCAGGTTTAGGATTTGAACCACAGTTGGCTATGTAGAAGTCCTGTGACTTAGCCACCATCCCGTCTGCTGGCCCCCTGGAGGCGACTTTTTCATGTCAGCTGGGGTGGGCTTCTGTGACCCAGTGCTGGGTGATGGGACCCATCCTGCACAGCAGTCTCAGTGGGTGGCAGTCTCATCCACACACAGGGACTGCACTGTCACTCACTGGGCTACCCGAAGCCAAGATGCCCAGACCCCCGCCCCCCTGGAACTGCACCACTCACGAAGAAGACCCCAGAATGTCAGAAACGCTGGAAAAGTTCTATCTAAAAACACAAAGATCACTCTAGTCTCTTTCAAAGCACTTAAGTTTCAAAAACGAAAACTAAGAACACACAATTGTCTGCTAACAGAAGTGAGCTTTTTGCAGAAGGGAACGGTCAAAGGCAAGAACATAGGGGATCACAGGCTGTGGGGAAGGGCCCTGTGCTGACAGAGAGAGGGTCGTGAAGACGGAGCTGGGCGGCACTCCCCAGGGCCCTCTCCAGCCCCCTGGCTGGGCGGGCAGCAGTCCTGTTCTCCCAGGGCTCCTCATCTAGCTGTGAGCCTGGGGCCGTCCCTGGAACACAGCGGACACTCAGTAGCCGTCTGATCCATCAGTGTTAGTCATTCACAGCACATTAAAGAGGGAAAACTGGGATAAGACCATGTGGACACACGTGCCTCCCTTTCCCACTGGCTCCATACAGTGACGTCATCTGTGAAACGGGGCTTCTGCCATCTGCCTCTCCCACCCGGGTGTGGGCGGCAACCCAACGCCCGTCCAGTCCGGTGGGGAAGAAC